GAGAGGAAAAATATATATAAAACAAAATAATGCAAGAGTAGAACAAAAAACATACAATATATAATAGAATAGAACAGAATAGAATAGAATAGCATAGAATAGAATAAATCTTTATTGTCCACCAGGGTGGAAAATTGTCTTCGGCTCACCAACATACAGGACATAGCATAACATAACACATAACAGAGCTAAAATATGAACAAAGCCAAAACACAAGATAAAAATTCATATAGATACATTTTTAAAAGATAAATAAATAAAATAAAATATAGTGCTATAAAAGTACGGTAGAGCAGTTCATGTCTTTATCTGTTGTTTAGTCACTTAGTGGAGTTAAGGATGCTAATAGCACTGGGGACAAAGGACTTTTTAAAAGCCCCTTTAGCCAGAGGAACTCTGTAGCGCCTCCCAGACTTCAAGAGCTCAAACTGGCTGAAGAGAGGATGGGAGCTATCTACCAGGATTCTCCTCACTTTCCTCCTTGTCCTCTCAGTGTAGAGATGGGTCAGAGGCTTTTGGGATTTTCCCACTATTTTGCTCGCTTGATTGGATTATATAGAATAAATATCACAAATGTGCAGGAGAAACCAAAAAAACCCTAAGGGAAATGGTCATCATTACACAGAATAATTCACACATTAGAAGTGTGCATGTGAGTGAGAGCCTGTATGAGAAAAGGAGTGCATGTTCTTGTGTGTGTGTGTGTTAGGTCAAGTGAATTTAATAAACCTTATAAAACTGAGAGCCCCCATTAAGGCTCTCGGTCAAAGGTTAACACGGCAGCGTTTTATGTTGTTTCCTTGAGCTTATGTCGAGAAAGCATAACTGGCCATCTATATTGATTCTAGCTCGCCATACAATAACCATAATCATAGTGATTCAGTCATAGTTGATCTCAATTAGCGTTACAGTACGTCGGTTTATATTCGGTCAGCTCCGCTCAGTGTTTTCAACTCCGTTTCATTTTGAAACACTTAGCAACATAGCTGCTAATACAGCTATTAGCTTCTCAGCTAGTATTAATGAAAACGGAAAACCTAGTCGTCGTTTAGATGGACAGATACGGCTCAAATGTCCCGTATACGTCGAAAGTTACACATTATGACAATCTCAGTAAAACCGAAGTCCCTCACACAATAACTGACGTTTGCATAGCATAACTTGCATTGGCTGTAAAGCTGTGGATGATGGTCACGGAGATGAGCAGCAGATTTGTAGTGTTGCTACCCTTCGCAGCAACTTTCTTTCTGCATGTTCTGCACACAGGATAGTTGTCCTCCACCAGCTGTCCCTCGGCATTCTTCAGAAACCCAAAGTACGCCCAGACCTCAGACTTTGTGCGTTTAGTTGGGGGGAAAATGTCCTGAGTGCCGCTATCACCACCTTCCGCCATGTTTTCATTCTTTGTGTTTACGCATGCTACGCATTCACGCAACGCCTGCATCGCGAGACTTGAATGAGGCTGTTATTACATATCCTGATAATCCACCGCGATAATGCAATTAATTTAAACATAAACGGTAATTCTTACCTTGTAAAAATTAACCAAGATTTACCGTAATATCGGTAATCGTTACAGCCCTAATACATTTATATAAACGTGTGTGTGTGTGTGTGTGTGTGTGTGTGTGTGTGTATGTATGTAATTGGCTGTTCAAGACAAATATTCAACCATTCAATCCTATTTTCCTTATAGAGTTTTGGAGCTCACTGCACTAACAAGGGATCAGAAATGTGCAGCATTTTTTGCCGACACGAGATATCAAACAAAAGCCAGAGCGTGATCTGTATTGTTAGTTGTTGCGAGCTGTAATTTCACCACATTGAGACAGAAAACAGAAGATGACGTTGTTTCAGAGCCTTACATGTACACATATTGTACATTTTAAATACTTGCAAATAGCACAGGAGCAACACTCAACCAAAGCGAAGGGTCACATGCAAAGTTAGCATCACCCATAATCAGACCTGACCTTGGTTGTAGCTTTCTTGTAAGTGTGGAGAAGGAGTCAGGATACTGTTAGCCTAGCTTAGCATAAAGTAGAACTAACGACACCCTGGCTCTAGCTGTGGTGAGGTTAGTCTAACTTAATATAAAGACTGGAAGAGGGGAAGAACGGCAATGTTCTGTCTAATGTTGAATAATATGCCCACCAATATGCCTGTCTCTAAATCTCAACAATTAACAGTTCAAAAAATGGAAATAGAAAATGGATATTTTGTAGTTTTAGAGGAGTGACAAGCTGGAACCACATGGTAGGTGTTTTTTTTTTTTTTTTAACTTTGGGCATGGCCAAGCCAGCTGTCTCCCCCTGGTTCCTGCCCTAATGCTAAGCTAGGCTAACCACCTCCTGACTCCATCACTGCACTTGACTCACAAGACATGAGACTGATAACAGTTTTCTGATCTCTCCTTGGGAAAGAACATAAATGGGTGCATTGCCCAAAATGTTGAACTATTCCTGTAAAGACAGAAGTTGCATGTTAGATGTTAGCAGGTCAATCCACAGTTTGGATCCACAATAGCAAAAGTTTGTCTCTCCGTACTTCTTTGTCTTTGTCTTGTCTGCTGTGGGTAGTATTAGTGCAGCAAAATAAAGGGGGCATTTACTAAACATGAAGGTGCTAAACTATGTACTGTCTTCATATACTGTTGGCCTTAAATCTTGAGTGTCCCTTTCTTCACTGGGCTTTCCCTGACCTGTTTATCCTGTAGCCTGTCTGACATTTGTCTTAGCTCTGCATTCACCTGCTAACCCATAAACCCTCTGGGAACATCCTTCCCTACCCATACACTGCCATATAGGCCTATCACAGCGGCAGTCTAGACGAGGTCAGGCTGCCCACTCTCATCTGTTCTCAAATTGCACTGACATTTTCAAAGCTGCCTTTTTCTTTGAGACGTCTGATAACAAAGCTTCACTATCATCTCTGACCTTTAAATACACAATTTTTACCCACTTTTGAAAAGACTGCTATGACTTTTGTGTCACTCAAGAATAAGTTTTCCTGCGTTGATTTTGCAGTGATATTTGTAGCAGTTTTCAGGATACGCATGGGCAGAAAACAGGTTTGTGTTTCTGATACTGGGAGAGATGCCCAAAAAGCTTTTAAAGACACCCATAGGTTGATTAATTACTTAGTTAGTAATGCTTCTGTGCTAATGTGTGTGGCCTGTGAAGCCATGTGTCTTACCTGCATCGGCATGACAGTAATAACATTAACCACTGAGTCCTTATCCATGTCAATCAGCATTTGGTACTGACAGCTAAAATTTAAAATTGGATGCTTAACAAATAAATCATGTAAAATGATGAACCCCTCTTATGTGACTTTGCTTTTTACAGCTTCCCAAGTGTATTGGGATGATGGATATCTGTCAGAGTTCTGAGCAGATTGTCTGTTTTAATACACAGGAAGATGTCAGAGTCTCTGTGCGTGGCTTTGAATTAATTGAACAGTGTTACTACTGCCTGTATATTGTTCCAATTTTAGTGGTAACGACAGACTTACAAAATCATGATGTTATCCTATATTTGTTTATTTGATCAGGCTGAGGTAATTAATACAATATATTGTTTTGGGTCTGGGGTTGCAGCAATATTCCGGTTGTAAGGTGTACCATGATGTAAAAGTTGACGGTTATAATACCATGTGTATTTACTTATCTACGATATTGATTTAAAAAAAAATGCAACTTGATGGAGAATCTTCCCTTAATTTTTAGTTATTTTCAAAGAGGAGACGTTTTACACATACTTCCGTTAAAAAATGATTTCAAGTTTCAATTACAGTAGTACAATGTTCAACCAACTATAACCCTTGTTTGTGTTCTTGTTGAATGTTACATATTAAGATTGATACCACTCCCATTTTTTATGTGAAGTATAAAGCTACAGCCTAAGTGCTAAAGTTTACATTTGCTTTGCTTTGCATAGCACAAAGACTGGAAAAAATAGAAACAGCTAGTCTGGCTCTGTCCAATTTTTGCTTAAAAAACAATGAAAATTCAAAAAAATCTCTCAGTATCACGTTTCACAAGTTTTTACACCTGGAGTATGTGGAAAAAGGTAAATGGGACTGGGAAAACAGATTAAACAAATAAAATATGACATACAGTCATGATGAACTGTTGTTTGCTGCATAGTTGTAATATTTGTTGTTCAAAACTGTATTTCCAGTGTTCAGTGTGCTCTCCTTTATTATACATAGTTTCCTTTGTTTGGGGTTGGACTGCTGCTCTTTAAATTATGTCATCTTGTTGCACCCTCTTCTTTTATATTAGAGACATCTCATTGGAGAATTAGCACTACCTACTGCTTACCTTGGCGAACCAACACCCAGCATTCACATGACAGTAGTAGATGGAAAAGCACATACATTTGCATTTTCTTTTGACAGTTTTTGAAAATTTGGTTGTGCTAAACTAAGCTAACTGGCTGCTTGCGGTAGCTTCATATTTAGGCTACTGTACAGACATGAGAGTGGTATCAGGTGATGAAAGGGAGTCAGCTGATAGATCACATGATTTCATTCCATGCAACCAATTGGCCAATCTCATCGTGAGGGCCCTATTTAAACTGCTTTGGCCTGCCTACTGTTGCTGCTTCTTCCAATCTGCCTCCATCCCAGCTCCTCCTTTTCATGTTGTGTCTGACTTATCAGTGTCATTTCTGTTTGTCACTGATGCTTGCTCTGTTCTGTTCCTGGGGGGTCTTTGCTGCTGCTCTTCCTGCCTTAGGCTTTCCATGTACACACATGGAAGGGCAGGGAGGATTGCTCTATCTGCCTCCTGCTTTCTGTGTAGGCCTAGGAAAGTGCCAAATATAAAAATGCAAATGGAAAAAAAGTTTTCTTTGGCTAAAGTGGTCCTGACTGAAATGTAATTTTTCTGTTTTAACATGTAAAATGAACATTTTTGGACTGTTGGATTAAAAATAGAAAATAGCATTTTTCAGTATGTTGTGAAAAGTAATTCGGGGTTGTGATTTTCTCCTCAGGATCACATCTGTGCCCTCGGAGTTTAGATTGTGCCCGTGCAGGGCGGGACTTCTGCCAGCCCGGCAGCTCACACTGCGGCCCCTGCCTGCGCCCTCTGGTGGAGGACTCCCATGGCCGCTGTGTGGTCAAGAGGAGGCATGCTCCTCACTCTATTAAAGGTAGGTAAATCCCTACATTGTTGATTGTAATCCACATTACTAAACATCATAAAGCATTCATATTTAATATCAGATGTAAATATTCCACTGAGAAATGTCAGGCCAATCTGCCAGTTAGATTTTTCATGACAGCCCCAATTCCAAAACAGTTGGGACGCTGTGTAAAATGTAAATAACAAACAGTATGCAATGATTTGTGAATATTGTTTTACATATATTCTATTGACTACAGTAGAAACACAAGATATGTGATGTTCAAACAGATGAACTTTATTGTTTTTTGTAAATATACTGTACACTCATTCTGAATTTGATGCCATTTGCTGTCCTCAGTTCCTAAACACTAAGTGAGTGCTGTTATAAGTTAAGGTGATGAAACACCTTGGTAAACATACTCTTGTCCAAAACTTTTTTGGAACCTGCAATCATCAGAATAAGTGTACATTTACAGAAAATAATGAAGTTTATCAATTTGAATATCAAATATCATGTATTTTACTGTATTGAAATGAATATTTTTTTTAATTTTTAATTTTTTTTTGTTTCACACAGTGTCCTAACTTCTTTGAAAATGTTGTATCATTGGACCCTCCCTGCCAGATAAATATGAATGTATTTCAAACATGCCCCCAAATTATAACACAGGCTTTCTATTAAACATCTAAGATGAGTGAATCAGGATTATATTATCAGAATTCTCAAACTGTTTTCACAGGATGAACAGTACTCCATGACTGTGTGTAAAATTTCAGAACCAGAATTAAATTTATTGGCCAAGTATTTTTACAGTTCAAGGAATTTGTCTTTAGGTTCTCGTGGCTCTCAGTGTGTGTAAGCTCAGTTATGGCTCCCTTACATGATGGCCAAATGCTCTTACAAGTGTGTGATTTTTAGCCACAGCACCATAGATGTGAGAGAATAAGTAACTGGGTGATTGAGTGTGATTGGGTGTTAAAGGTAGACTGTAATTGAGCAGTATTTCTGCCCCGCTGTGTGCGCTCCCTTAACACCTACTACAGATAAGTCAAGTATTTTACCAAAGCGTGTATTCAGAGAGTCCTAGTAGGTGTAACACCAGCTCCCAGCTTCCATTTATCTCAGTCAGCAGAGTGTGTCATAGTTAATGTCCAACACTAAAGATCCTTGTGAGTCTCTGCTTTTTGTGTCCTGCTCTGCTGTTGATAGTGAGAATGAGCCGGTGGATCTGCGACGAATCAGGAGGTGAAGCTGCCCTGTTCAAAATACAGGGAGAATTTAGCAACAAGAGTAAAATGTTGGAAGAAAATAATATTACTGTGATGAACTAAGATAAAGCTGTAAACATTACATCCTGGGTGGATTTAGTCAAAATATGAATTTTTAATGCCTTCAGGCAATAAGTGTATTTTCCATGAGATGAGTCCCCACAATATAAGTACGGCTGTTTTATATTATGGCATATATGTGTTAGGTTTGGAGTCAGCTTTATGTGTTGTGTTGTTCTGGTATCTACCTTACATTGCTTTAAATGTGATATACGTTTTTTGGCTTTAGGAGAAAAGGCAGTCTTTTCATTAGCTTTTAAGGGTTTTTATTGTGAAGACAATCCGTGGTGTTTTGTAAAGGCTCAGTGAGATAGCTTTAGCACCTTTCAGCCCCAATTCCCTCACCGCTCAGACAGAAAGGCTGGAGTCTCTGCCAAGCAGGACTTGCCTGTCAGTCTCACTGACCCTCTGACTCATGTCGTGACTGCCCTGCTGCCAGCTCAACAGCACACTGCAGTGAAGAAAGTCACAGTGATTATGTACTTTGACTCATTAGGCACTTCTTTGTTCCCCCTCCAATCTGCCATGTCTCTCTTGTGTGGGCTCAGGGCTGAAAGGTTTCTAAAGGAACAGAAACAGTCACAGGGTATTTTCCAAGTAAAAATTACTAGGCCTGTCACAATAACCACTTTTGCTGGACAATAAATTGTTTCCAGAAATAAGTGCAATATTATTGTCATTTTAAGACCATTTTATGGCACTACTGTAATGATATAATGATAATATAACAGCATAATAAAGTAAGTACATCCTTTCAAAGAGCAATGAACTTTAAAATGTTAAGACTTTTCAGACATGGGAATTAGAATATGAAAAACATATTCAACGTATTTTTAAAAAGTAAGTCACACCTGGTAATATAGGCCTACACAAGAGGGTATGTATAAAATTACAGTCCCTTTATAGAACAATTACTCTTTTTATTTATTTTTTTTGGCTTTTGCCTTTATTGGGCAGGACAGATGAAGTGTAAAGGGGGGAGAGTAAGGGGATGACATGCAGCAAAGGGCCGCAGGCTGGAATCAAACCTTCGGCAGCAAAGACATTTGGGACACCCACTGTACCCTGAGCTGCCAGGCACCCCGTGAATTGTCAGTATATGATGAAATACAAAATGCAAGTAAACAAAACCAAGCAGTGCGTCTTGCCAGTGCAGGACATAGCACATTAAGCACGTTCCAACGGTTAACATTAGCGTTTCTGTTGCTGCCTTCTTATGCTAATGTGTTAAGTTAATTTTCTCCTTATCTTTTCACTCTGAATACCCCATAATAACAAAGCAAAGACAGGATTTTATAAATGTTTGCAAATTTTTAAAAAGAATAAACTAAGATATATTGCCACAGGCATTCAGACCATTTGCTATGACACATGAAATTTGGCTCCAGTGCCTTTCAGTTTTTATGGTGTCTCTATACCTTGTTTGGAGTCCACTTGTGGTAAATTCAATTGATAGAATATGATTTACAAAGGCAAACACCTACATATGTCAGGGAAACTAAATTTGCTCTACCTAGGGGCCACTATTGCAGAATGACAGAGGCTGGGGGCCAGTTAATAAACAAGAATTCATATTTTTTATCAGATAAAATGATTAAATGAGGCAAATTCAGTCGCAGCAGCCACACACTGGTCATGTAATAGCAGGGGTGTTCCTAGAATTGAGGGCATTTGGGGCTCAGCCCAGACCCTTGATCCTTCCCTGGTACCTCCTTTTAATAAACAAGCTCTATTTCTGAAGGGGTTTTAACGTACTCTGGTACCTTATTTATTTTCAAAGTACAAAAGAAAAATCCCCAGTGTGAATCTTTTTTTTTTTTCACTGAATTAGAAAAGGGTCAGCAGGCCACCCTACACCCTATCACCTACACCCTATCAGAGACCAGATTTGGCTTACAATCTGCAAGTTGAGTATCACTGATATAAGGTGAATATATAGGTGGTGTATATATCATGATATACACTAGGGCTGTCAAAAGCACCATGAAATTGAGTTAGAATGTTTTCGAATTAATCTGCTCTGCAGAGCAAAAAGCAGCCATGAGGTGGAGGAAACTGCCTGCAAAGTGCAGAAACAGGACTGTATGGAGGCACAGTTCTGGGGAGTGCCACTGGCTGAGATAGTTTTGGTTTTATTTGTCTAGTCCTCCACATAATGCACGTTTTATCTACTGAGTAAATACCAAATGTGTAACCCAGAGTAACAGGGAAGCTGTTTGTATTCTGTATTTTTTTTCTCACTGTCTTTCTCCTTGTTGCCACCCACCCACACTTTGAGCAGCCGGGCGTGACAGTAGAGCACCGAGTCATCGACCCGCACACACAGAGCTCACCACATCTATTCTCCCACTCGCACCAAATGACGTATAAAAAGCTGCGCAGCCCCATCCAGCCCTCTACTCACAAACACACACATTTATCTTTCAGGACTACATACTGTATGTGCCACGCACACACATTTCATAAATTGTATTTTAAATGTTTTTATGTTGTGCTTGATTTTAATTGCTATTGCTGCGTCAAGTTGTCATACATGACAGGTTATGTTGCCTTGTCATGTTGCTCTAGGAAAGACATGTCGAACAATGTCACGTTTCTAATAAAAAATGTCATAATTGATTGAATGACAGCAGTCAAAAACACTCATAAAGACTCCTTCATGTTCATGATAGGTGTCATGTCATGCGTATGACTGTGTCATGACAGATTATAGACTCACTTACTAGTGTCAAGTCATCTTCAGTACAGCATGATGTTCATTTTGTAAAGTGTGGTCCTGGTCAGAGTTAATCAGATAGTAAAGCAGGGTATGCTTTAGGGCGTGGCTACCTTGTGATTGATGAGCCAGATCCACCCCTCGCTCCTCCACAGCTCCACCCTCTGCCAAACTCGTGCATTCAGATTTGTAGACCACAAACCTACTGGTAAAGTCACAGTGCCTGCATCCACTTATTTTACACAGTCTATGGCTCACACACACACACACACACACACACACACACACACACACACACACACACACACACACGCGCCACTCAGCTCTCATGCCTGTGTGACTTCCTCCCACTCATCACTATAAAGCGGTAGGCAGTGTGACGATGCTCTGCAGTGGAGCAGAGGATCACAGGAGTTGGAGGGAACATTAACACTGGTTCACTCATTAAAACAATCAAGACTGCAGTTGTTTTCAGTGCCACACAGGGGTGGTGTTATCTTTTTCTTTTTTTTTTTTTAATTCACCGACTTGACCGTCCGCAGTATTCCCACATCGACAGGACAAATGACTCTAATTTCTAGCAGTCAGCAGCAGCAGCAGGGCCACAGAGCTGGTATCAGTCCATCAGTGTGACTCAGATGACTTTTGAAGCACAAGGAGCACTTTGAATGTTAATCTGACACATTTTAACCATTTAAAGATACTGTTTACAAGTTTGCCAGGGTTGGTCGCACAGCTGCCTGGACATGGAGACATGAGACTTGACTTAAACTACTGTGAGACTTGAGTATTTAAAGATTTTGCTGTCTAGTCTCAAGGTTTGACCTGATACAATGGCGCAATGGAAAGACTTTAGACAGCCTCAGGCAGGCCTCACATAGCTGCCCTGCTTGAATATTTAACTATTAGATTTATGAATGTAAAGGATTTGTTCTCAGTTATGTAAAAAACATTATTTACAGTTTTGACAGTAAAATGTTTAATATCTGTGCCCATTAAATGGTCTTCATTCAAAGACCTGAAAGTCCTGTATTCTGACTTGCAGTTACAAGTCAGCTGTGGCTGGCACATAGGTCAACTTTTCTGTAGGGTCATATTAATTATATTTGGTGGCTCTGGCGCTAACACATAAGCAGCTACTTGTCCAGAGCGTAGGTTGTGATGATTGCTGGTCTTTTGACTGTTATAACTTGTCCTTGATATTATCATACTGGTCTCTTGCTGATAAAGATGTTTAAAAAGTTAAATCATGCATCTGTTTGATCTAACATTAGCTGTGCTCTCTTGATGAGCTCATGATGATTGATTTTTATCTTGATGACTTTTTTATTAGGGCTGTCAAGTGATTTAAAAAAAAAATAAATCTAAGTAATCACATGCTCTTAATCACATACATCATTTTTTGCTGTGAAAGTATTTAAAAAATTTAAATTCAAATAAATGTTGGCAGATGTGTCGTAATAAAGCCACTGCATTTTGGACACAATTGTCCCCCTGTCCTCTACCACTGAAAGTGGTCTTCAGTCCATTGCAATCCATTTTGCAAGGGAGTAAGTTATTCTGTCACAGGCAGACTTACTCAGTTTGTGTTTCAACACCTGGTCCAGTGTGGCTTGATGAGGCTGGCTGCTAGCACTAGCATCAGAGTCTGTGTTAGCTTGGACCTCCGGATTCGTTGCTAAATGCTTTGCATTTAGGCGATATTTCAGGCATGGAGTTCTCCAATGGTGTGAAAATTCCTTACTGCAGAAATTACAGTTGGGCGATATGGCTTAAAAGTATATCACGATATAGCTGGTTCATATTGATCAATAATGATAATTATCGATCATTTTTTTATAACCTATTTAAAATAAGGACCAGGAGAAAATAAATGAATTTTAACACATTTTAGCTGTCTTCTGATTTCAATCACAGTCATCAGTCAAAGCAGACAGAGCAAAATGTAATGTCAATACAACCATTAGAAAATACTCAAATAAATGAACATACACACGATGGTATAAAAACTAAAATAAAAAATGAACAGTTTTCTCTTAACATCAAGTAAAGCTAGTAAATGCTTTCAGGCAAACATATCTGTAAAGATGAGCAGCTGAACAAAAGACTATGTACAGATGAATAAGTGATTCACATAGTGAGGAAAGTGCTATGTGGAAATTAGTGCAAACCTGAGGTAACTTGTAATGACACGTAACAGCTCTGGACATCCAGTAAAATGGTAAGATCAATTCAAACCAACATAAATTGGATTAATTTTAATTATAACGAGCCATTTTACTTTCACTGTAACAGTGCTGGTATGCTGAAGATCTGAATGATGAGTACATAGCCTATTTCACACAGAATCTGAATCTGCACACTGCCTTTGAATCGTCCCCCTCTTGAAGTAAAATCTTGTAATCATCTCTCTTTCCACAAATCTTTATTGTATTCTTTCCATATTTCGCCCACTTGTTAGCGAAATAGTTAAAGAACCTCCATTAATCGCGCAATTTAAATGTGAAGTCTCATTGACTGACCGTCACCTGTGTGTCTACGGAGGAGGAGAGGGGCGGAGGGAGCGGAGCTGTGAATCCTGCAGTCCGACATACTATCATGCGTTTAAATAACTTATTAGATAGAGAAAGGCGACGTTTAGAGAGCAAGCCCAAATAAGCAGCTCCACTTTAGAAACAAGCCCCAAAAACAACAACCCGCAACTACCAAAATTTGTAAGCCATCCATCCATCCATTTTCTAACTGCTTCATCCTCTTGAGGGTCGCGGGGGGGCTGGAGCCTATCCCAGCTGACATTGGGCGAGAGGTAGGGTACACCCTGGACAGGTCGCCAGACTATCACAGGGCTGACACATAGGGTAAGTAGCGCGGCTTTCTTCCATGTTTTTTTTCCCGACAGAATACATTATCGAACATTATATTGAACGTTTTTTCTATCGACGGCGCATAAGTGTTTATAGGGAGACGATATGTTACCGTTTTATCATCCACCACTAGCAGAAATAGAACGGTGCTCCTACCAACAGTTCCAAATTGGCGTTTGTTAAATGTAAAATTTCCATTCACAGGGCCAAGCAGCGTCTTCTGCCTCCATCATGTGTCAAAAAACTGTGGCCACGAAAGGCGATTAGTCAGTGTTCATTTTTTGTGTTGTTTTTCTCTGTGACTATTTCATCGGAATCAACTATTTTTTATATTTTTTTTGGCATTTCTGCTTTATTTTGTTTCCTTCTTTCTTTTCTTTTCTGGAACCCAGATTTCCCTTTCCCTTCATGACAGTGTACATTTGTGCTCCAGCAGCATGAGTCACTGACTCGGCTTTAGCTGCGTTTAGAGACAAATCTCTGTGGAGGCCTCAAAGCGCCCCCACTATTTTTCACTCTTCCAACTGATTTATTCGGCCAATATTAGTTTAACTATGGCACAAGGTACTTTCAAATAAAAAAAAATTACAAACAAAACTAAACTTTTCATTCCAGGCTTTTTGAGGGCTGCCCTCTCAATGGGGCCCCAGTCATCAGTCCCACTTCTCCCCCACAATGACTCCCCTGAGCAGGGGACAGACAGAGCATGGCATGCAGTAAAGGGCACAGGCCACTGTAGTAAGGACTTAGCCTTAGTAGTACACTCTCTACCTGGTGAGCTCAAACAAAAAAAAAGCTTTCAGTAAGGGGACGCTGATGCTCTGACCTTAAATACTAGGGGTGTAAATCACTGGTTTCATCATGACACAATATTATATCGATTCTTTGGACAACAACAACAGTATTTGCCAATATTACAAAGTCTGCCACAATACAATTTTGATACAGTGTGATTCAGGGGCCTGCCATCGATATGAGATGATATTATATGACCATTTAACACGATCGATTACAGAAGAAGCTGCCACCCCTTTCTTTTCTGCTTTTGGCTATAAAAGATAAAAACAACACATAATAAAAATAAGTGCTCTAAAGTTTACTCTATACTGACTCTACAAACACACATTACACAAGACATTAACCTCCAGGGCTTTCTGCCAGAAAGTCTTTTCTGGAAGAAATGTTTCCATTTTAACCCAAACCATCATCTTTTTCTTAAAACTTCAGGAATATCTGACTTAAAGCCCTGAAGGCAAACTTCTCCCAACAGTCATAAGATATGGGTTATTAACAAGGTCATTTAAGAAAGGTATAAAATTCAACTCAAAAATAAATGTCAAGGTTCATAAACATGCCAATTGTTTTTTTTTTTTTTGTTTTTTTTTTTGTTATTCAGGGTTAAGGTTAAAACATGGACATGAAAAGAATGAAAAGATGCTACTGAGTTGTGTTATGGGAAACTTTTTTGGATTTTTGGACCCATACCAAGAACTAGAAATCAGGATATCTCAGCCTTTACCTCTTCAATTTTGACGATCATGTTTTAAAATATGTCATTAAAAACTCCACCAACTTTGTGCAAGTGCATTGTTAAATCACTGGAGCACTTTTTTTTTTACGTTATTTTACACCAAATGCTAGATTTGGCCCAGTATAGGTCTTTGAAGGCTGATATCAGTCGCAGTATTTTGTTGATTCATGTGTCTCTCAATAAGTCTCCTAACCCTGTGGAAGTGCTCTATTAAATCACCAGAGTAAACCTTTAAATACCACTTAGCCTGGTGTCACTCTCAGGACAAAATACGCTTCTTGGGCAATGTCCCGGTTGTCATATACCAACACTTTGTCACGTCCCTTGGCATCTCATAGCGACGCACAGGGCACACTTAAGCATGACACACAGCTTAAACACATTGTAGTATGTGGTCAATGTTGTGAAACAGTCCTGGTTAGGTTGAGGCAACAGAACAACTTGGTTATGTTCAGAGAATAGATCATGTTTTGGGTAAAATAAGTAACTTGGCGTAAATAGTCTGTGTGCAATGACGGTACAAAGTATGTAATGTTACGTTAAAACAGTGTGACATAGATACGTAAATTACATAACATTAAGTTAAAAAAACATTGACCTCTGGTTTTGTTTATTTGTTGTTCCATTAAAAAAAAAATTAAAAATTCAGTACTTGGCACTGTGTGACGATACAATATTGCCACACAAAAATATTGCAATACATTGGATTGCGATTACTGGTTGCAAGTGTACATAAGTATTGTATTAAAACAATGGGAAGTAAGTATGTAAGTTACATAACGTTAAGTTAATACAACATTGACTTATGGTTTTGTTTGTTGTTCTAGTTTATTCTTTTCTTTCCTGCTGCAGTTTCACCTCTTCTGAGGGTTGGAATAATGTCAGAGTGTTTGGTTTGACCCTTTTGTGTGAATCAGTGTTTTGTTAAAGGCAATAACGGATTCTGGTTTTGTGTCCCTCCAGGTAAGGTGAACACTTACCCTGAGCTGGATGAGGAGATCGACTTCCTCTCTGCCATCATCAGTGAACAGAGAACTGAGACCAGGCTGTCAGGTACTGCACAGAGCCATATTCATATTTACCACTACATCCCTGCTGACATAGTGACTCAAAACCTTGTGTCTCTTTTCTCAGCTCCACCCTCGCAAGATGCCTATAAACCCAAATCCAAGCAGCTGGGTGGACACGGCCCCGCCCACACAGCATCTACCACAGAGCAACCAAGGAGCCAGAGCGTCCCGATCACCAGCGTGGCACCACCCTCCACCTCCACAAACCATACTCCTGCTCTGCTCAGCGATCCCATCATCTTCCCCTACCCCTCTAATGACCGAGTTTTTATCAGTAAGTCTTCTCTGTCCTTTAGATATGACCTAATTTCTTGCTGGAGTTGTACTAGAGCTTAAAGAAGTCAGTGTAGTTCTGACCCAAGTGCTGTAGTGAGTGGGCATGAAGCAAAAGTTTGGGCACCCTGCATGGTCAGTACTTAGTAGCGCCCCCCTTGGCAAGTATCACAGTTTCTAAACACTTTTTGTACCCAGCTAAGTGTTTTTCAATACCTATTTCAGGGATTTTAGCCCATTCTTCCTGCAAAGGTTCTTAGTTGTGAGATTCATGGGCCGTCTTGCATGCACTGCTCTTTTGGGGTCTATCCACAGATTTTTAATGATGTTCAGATAAGATAAGATGAGATCAACTTTATTGGCTTAAACGGGAAATTTGTTTTGGGCAAATAGTGTGACATAGCTGCATAGCAGATACAACCATCATACACAAACAAGACACACAGTAGACAACCCTGTAGTACAGCAAGACACAGATTTGAATAACATAATTGTGCAATCAGGACTACTGGATGAAATAAATGCATCAACTTTATCATAACAGGTAGGGCTAAAGGAATAAAAGCTCTTTAAGGTTGCACCAGCCCAGGAGGTAAACATGAAAAGTGCAATAAAAACTGTAATATAAATAGTGCAAAAAAAACCAACAAAAAACAGTAGAGCAAATAAAACTGCTGCAAATAAAAAACTGAAGTGCGAGTAAGAACATATCAAAGTGTGCAACAGGACAATAGTCACAGTAGCAGCTCTGCTCTGCCAGGGAGACACCGCAGGGCCGGCAGACAGTGGCATAACCAAAAGAACATTACAGGGAAAATTTTTTTTATGATGTTTAGGTTGGGGGACAGTGAGGGCCTCGGCTAAACCTTCAGCTTGCTCCTCTTGAGGTAGTCCACTGTGGATTCTGAGGTGTGTTTAGGATCATTGTCCTGTTGTTGAAGCCATCCTCTCTTCATTTTCAGCTTTTTTACAGATGCTGTGATGTTTACTTCCAGAATTAGCTGGAATTTAACTGAATCCATTCTTCCCTCTACCTGTGAATCTGATACTTTTTAAATTAACATTTTTAAAGATAAATCTTACATACCCCATGTAGTACTCCAGAGTACCCCTTAAGGTATCTGTACCCCCATTTGAGAAACACTGTTTTAGTTTATCCTTTTACCATTTTTCAATTCAGCTGCACCACCTAACAATGGCATTTAAAGGTTGAACAAATATTTCCACTTGGGAGTTTCACCAAAAACTCTTGGGAAATACCAGGATGTTATTTCCCGGTAATCAACCGTGGCAGCAGCAGAATTCAATTTGAACAGCCCTTTTTTCTGCTTCAAAAACTTCAGATCAGTTGGGTAAAATAACATCTGTGTTATAAATTTTCATCAGCATTGCGTGCTCTGAAATCTCGGGACTGACCTCAGATTTACTATGGGGGTTGCATAGAACAGAGGTGGTATGTTACTGTCGGTTAGTTCTGCCTCACTCAATTACTGTTATCAATGCTATTTTCACTGTTGCTGCTGCAGGGCCAAAACTGACACAGTGACACTTTATTTTCAGCAGCTCTTCTTTGAGCTCAACACTGACACCGTTCCAGAGCTTTCAGTCAGGCATCATGTCTTCCTTTGATGCGCACAGATCTTCACAGCGTTCCCTCTTCCTCTCTGTCTGTATATTTTTCTTTACAGTCATGAGCAGCGTCTTCATTGCGGCAGGTTCGCTGGCTTTGATCGTAGCAGGGGCCTTTTGGGTCAGGTAAGATATTTCTGCCTCCTTTTCTACACTGCTGCATGAGACTCTAGCTCAAAATATCATGTCTGTCCCTTTTAGGATCTGACAATAAAGCCTGCAGAATTACCGTGTTTTCTATCAGTACTGAAGGGAAACTTTTCAACCTAAACCCCATTTTCAAGGGCATAGGTTAGAGCAGGGGTTTGGGGGTCCTACCCTTTATGCATCAGACACTTCATTTCCTGCATTCTGGTGGAGTTTTATGGACCAATTTATGGTGGAAATGTCTTTATTTATAGAATAGAATAGAATAGAATAGAAGCTTTATTGTCATTGTACACAGGATACAATGAAATTTCGTTTAGGCATCACACAGGTCAGATCAACAAAAAGTGGTAAAGTGTAAACAGTGCTGTAAAGTGCAGTGTACGAATAAATATTATGTATCGTTGTTATACATATAAATATGCATTTGGTTGTTAAAAACTACATAAGAATTAGTCAGGTCAAATAAGATTAAGATTTATGTGAAGAAAAACAAAAATTCAGGCGCCATGGTGACATTTGAAAATAAAAAAAAATGTATTATATAATTTGAAACATAATCCAGAAAAGGCAAAAACCAGCACTTTTAGTGAACACACATTGACAGTGCCGTATGCTCCGAGTGGTTACATTGCAGCCTGTTCCACGGCTGCGGCTGCAGTGCCCTCTGTCAGTACTGGACCAATTTCAAAAATTGTTGTTTTCATTCGTCACTTCAATACAAAAACATGTGAAAATAGGGTCCAGGTTGAAAAATACCAAAGTTTCCCTTTAAGACCTAAAACCTTAAGATTATAAAACACATGTTGAATATTTATTACTTCAGACAACTTTAATTTAGGTCTGCAACCACAATTTTTTTTTATACTGCTGAGTAAACTGCCAGTTACTTACTCAATTAAATCCGTTACTTGGTCTATAAAATGTTAGAAAAGTGCCTGTTTTAATTATTTCTGACCAGCAGTCTAAAACAAACATATTGTTTACTATCATAGGAGTCTAAGGAAACTAGTCAATATAATTATATTTAAGCAGCTGGAACCAAATAATTCTTGGCAATTTTGTTTAAAACAAACAATTTATCACTTGCTAAAATGAATATCCTGTCAGTCAAGTAATTAATTAGGCTTCCACCTGTTTCAGCTCTATTTCAATCAAGAAACTATTTTTATTGATATCAGCTATCAAAAACTTGTATTGGTGAGAATCTAGTCCGCTGGCATTAAGTGTTATTTAAGGGGGTGTTCCACTAATCTAGTGTTTCACTTTCATGATGTTGTGAGGCAAAGATATTCTCCATTTCCTAAAAATAACTTCTTAAAAATACCTAAAAAAAAATTTAAACATTCCAATGTGGATGTAAGTCAGGTTATCACTTGTATCAAAGGAAAGACAAGATTGTTGTAAATCACAAAAAGGAAGTTGAAAGCCATTTGTTTGTGCCATATTTTGGAAGAACTTCTTGACTTTGAATTTTAAGATTGATGCTGGGAGATTTTATTATACACAGTTCTAAAATGTCCAGCTTTTGCATCAGTCAGTGGAAATATCCCAGACACAGCAATGCCAATCAATTCCAAATGCTTTCTAAACTAGAAGAAATCAAGTATTTTATACCTCTTTATTCTGATCAACCGTCTACCAACCATTGTATTTTCTTTTTTTACAGATTGCAGAAAGGTGTGCGTCTGACAGAGAAGGTGGACTACCCTGCATATAGACTGATGAAAGCTCAAGCCTTTGACAATTTGGTAAGTAGAAAGTGTCTGTAGTGTTACAAGGAAAGAAACTTGGGGCCCAATCCCAGTTTTTATGTTTTCCCCTACCCTTCCTTTTCCAGTGCCCCTTTGCCCTTCGTAACAGACCCAGGCAACATTTATATGAAGACCCTATGTGGTTAGTTAGTTAGCTACTGAGACATCAGCATACTACTAGTGATATTTTTGTTATGATTGTTATATAGAAAATGACCATTAAACACTGAAACAATGTTAAACTAAGATAGTATAATGGTTACTGTCATTTTAAAATCTTTTTTGACAAAGAAAATACATTTGTGGGTTTCTTATGTTGTTTGATTTCTTATAACACTCAGTTTGAAGTGTTCTAAAAAACCTCCTATTGGAGGGCCATGTAGCCCTGACACTGCACCCTACCCCTCTATCCTAACAAGAATCAGGACACCATACCTTTAGAAGTGAACACACAAAATGGAGGGGAAAGGCTAAGTGTAGGGGCAAGGGGTGTGTTGGGACTGAGCCTTACGCAGAGGACGTGGACAGGTGGGGAAAAAACACAGTAAGGTGCCACGTCTTTTACTCCCTGGAAAATGCGAGGTCAGGCACTGGATGCTACTCTTGTGCCTTTTTTGTGCCAGCTTTCAAGAGTGCGGTGGTGTCTATCTACCATAGCCTGAGTGTCAGACTGAAGCTCCCAGAACCTTCAGTCTGACATGGCTTCCATTGAAGGCGATTTACAAGGGGGAGGGAATTTGATTTTTTCCCTAACCAATCAGTAGAGATCAACGACTCACCCAGAATCTGACGTCATTAGTATCCATGCCTCGGGGGTGCCGAAAACAAGCGAGCATTGCCCGTTTAAAATGTCTCCGTCGTCCTGCACGCCCAGCTGCATCGCCATTAAATCCAGTTTAGCAGCTTCCTTAATTTGGTCCTCCATTAACGCGAGTAGTGGCGAAATACCTCGATAGCATCGTTAATGTGGTCTGTAGGATCTGTAGTGGTCACCATTTGATCCTCACCAGTTACCCACTGGCGTACAGCTTGACATCAGCATGGCGCTGACTGGCTAATCGCTAGACCCCCGGCATTCATCGGTCCGTCCATCGTTTGGACGAGATAAATCGCAAATTCATTGCAGTATGCCAGACCAGTAATACAAGCCTACTCAGTTGAGTGGGCGGGGTCTATGGTCTGGAACCAGGCTATATCTACCACAGACTGATGTACGGAATGAGGCAAAGATACAGTACAGGCCAAAAGTTTGGACACACCTTCTCATTCAATGCGTTTTCTTTATTTTCATGAGTATTCACATTGTAGATTCTCACTGAAGGCATCAAAACTATGAATGAACACATGTGGAGTTATGTACTTAACAAAAAAAGGTGAAATAACTGAAAACATGTTTTATATTCTAGTTTCTTCAAAATAGCCACCCTTTGCTCTGATTACTGCTTTGCACACTCTTGGCATTCTCTCCATGAGCTTCAAGAGGTAGTCACCTGAAATGGTTTTCCAACAGTCTTGAAGGAGTTCCCAGAGGTGTTTAGCACTTGTTGGCCCCTTTGCCTTCACTCTGCGGTCCAGCTCACCCCAAACCATCTTGATTGGGTTCAGGTCTGGTGACTGTGGAGGCCAGGTCATCTGCCGCAGCACTCCATCACTCTCCTTCTTGGTCAAATAGCCCTTACACAGCCTGGAGGTGTGTTTGGGGTCATTGTCCTGTTGAAAAATAAATGATTGTCCAACTAAACGCAAACCGGATGGGATGGCATGTCGCTGCAGGATGCTGTGGTAGCCATGCTGGTTCAGTGTGCCTTCAATTTTGAATAAATCCCCAACAGTGTCACCAGCAAAACACCCCCACACCATCACACCTCCTCCTCCATGCTTCACAGTGGGAACCAGGCATGTGGAATCCATCCGTTCACCTTTTCTGCGTCTCACAAAGACACGGCGGTTGGAACCAAAGATCTCAAATTTGGACTCATCAGACCAAAGCACAGATTTCCACTGGTCTAATGTCCATTCCTTGTGTTTCTTGGCCCAAACAAATCTCTTCTGCTTGTTGCCTCTCCTTAGCAGTGGTTTCCTAGCAGCTATTTGACCATGAAGGCCTGATTGGCGCAGTCTCCTCTTAACAGTTGTTCTAGAGATGGGTCTGCTGCTAGAACTCTGTGTGGCATTCATCTGGTCTCTGATCTGAGCTGCTGTTAACTTGCCATTTCTGAGGCTGGTGACTCGGATGAACTTATCCTCAGAAGCAGAGGTGACTCTTGGTCTTCCTTTCCTGGGTCGGTCCTCATGTGTGCCAGTTTCGTTGTAGCGCTTGATGGTTTTTGCGACTCCACTTGGGGACACATTTAAAGTTTTTGCAATTTTCCGGACTGACTGACCTTCATTTCTTAAAGTAATGATGGCCACTGGTTTTTCTTTAGTTAGCTGATTGGTTCTTGCCATAATATGAATTTTAACAGTTGTCCAATAGGGCTGTCGGCTGTGTATTAACCTGACTTCTGCACAACACAACTGATGGTCCCAACCCCATTGATAAAGCAAGAAATTCCACTAATTAACCCTGATAAGGCACACCTGTGAAGTGGAAACCATTTCAGGTGACTACCTCTTGAAGCTCATGGAGAGAATGCCAAGAGTGTGCAAAGCAGTAATCAGAGCAAAGGGTGGCTATTTTGAAGAAACTAGAATATAAAACATGTTTTCAGTTATTTCACCTTTTTTTGTTAAGTACATAACTCCACATGTGTTCATTCATAGTTTTGATGCCTTCAGTGAGAATCTACAATGTAAATAGTCATGAAAATAAAGAAAACGCATTGAATGAGAAGGTGTGTCCAAACTTTTGGCCTGTACTGTACCTGGTGGCTGTGATTGATTGGTTCTCATCACATGACTTATGGTGTGCGCCAATGTGCTCCAACAGTCAGTTCATCTCAGGGCAACTGTTGCACCCTGAAAAATAGAGACTGGGAATGCATGCATGCCGTGACGACATCGCTCTGGCATTTCAGTGCACCTGCCGCACGTCTACATTAAAATCAAAAGACGTGGCATGTGTACGGCCCCTTAGGCACTTCTTTAGATTTCCGTTCAAAACATGTTACATTTAATTCAGTGTCAATGTAGTGTTTGTATTTGTTTTTGTTTACAGAAAACAACTTTCAACTGTCATTTAAATCAAGATCTTGAAATCTTAACAATGGATCAAATGTGTAGTGAGAGAGGGGTCAGCTGCAGTGATGAATCAGAGAGAATTATCACCCAAGTAAAGTTCTCATGTTGTGTTCACAGCTGGTTTCGCTGCCCCCAAGTGGCCAAAACAAATTAATTAATATATAATTTTATTTAAATATTATGTGGGCTGATTGTAATGCTAACCAAAAGTGTATATTTCTTATAAATTGTAATGTCTTTGATAGTAATAGCAGTAATTGTAGTAATCAATTATATCATATGCCATTAGTTTACATATATGTACATATTGATATTTCTCCATTAAGCAACTAATAGACTATTGACTTTTTTTTAGCCTAATCTAATTTAAATTCCCATTAGTGACACTGCTGTAATATTATTCAGTAATACATCACTACCCAAAGCATTGTGATGTTGAGTGAACCATGCTATGCTGTAACTATGCTGTGTAATGGCTTAAACAAACCTGGAAATACAGTGCCAAAATAGAAGTTACACTGTTGTCCATATAGCTGCTACAGAATTTGGACCTTAATCTATGTGATGTCACTTCAAAACTCTGCAGAGCTCTTGTAAGAGAACATCTTAATTAGTCCAGCATATCTTAACATCAAAATTGTATGCTTTTTTCAGGTTAGTGTTGGACACCTTGCTGTAGCACCAGCTTTTAATGGCAAGCTAATGTATGTGTCTAGAAGCCTAAAAGGACAAACACAGCCATTCTTTCAGCAGTATCAGGACCTGAACACGTGTAGAACAGACCCAAGCTATGAAGCTAATGTCAGTTTGACCGTGTGACTGGATGTGGACAAATACCACTGACTGTCTCATGTCCCCTCTGCCCCTCTGTGTGTTCCAGCCTGGGGACAAGAAGCTGGCCCACAGTGCCCAGATGTATCACTACCAGCACCAGAAGCAGCAGATGCTCTCCCTGGAGAAGTAAGTCGCCCTCCAAGCCCACACAGGCTCATTTCTCCTGGGCATGTGTAGCTGTCTCCTGCCTCGTGTCTCTTGTCCCCACTTGCCCTTTCTGCCTCGTCAAATCTGTGTTATCAGCTGAATATTTTATGACTGTGTGTGTGTGCGTTTGTGTGTGACCTCTGCAGACACAGAGATGAGCCAAAAGTTCCTGACTCAGGCGCATCAACAGATGAGGAGAATGAGGATGGAGATTTCACAGTGTATGAGTGTCCTGGATTGGCACCTGTGAGTAAACGCATACACATTATTAACTCAGCTTTTATTGGAAGTTATACCGGGTGTTTTATCAGATCAGCATAATCATCCATAGTGCTGAGTCAGTGTTGTCAGTAGGAAGCCCTTAACCAGAATTAAAATGATGGCAAATAACTAAATATCATTAATTTTAAGTCATAATATTCATTAAATTTGAAGCTGCATTATTAATAGTTCTTATTTTACTAGTGGCTCAAACAATCTTTTGTAATGTGAAAGGTGTCACTCATAGTGAAATACACACAAAAAAATGATCGCTTACTCTGCAGTCCACTTCAGGTCTACAGAGCACTACTACTACTGGGTGTCTTTTGAAAGGTTAAACTGTTACCACTGTAATGGTATCACCATTAATACCTTCATTTATCCTTATTCTGTAAGTGCTGTGATTTTGTTCCACTTAAAATGTGCCACGGATCCACAAAATCTAATTTCTTGTGTGCGAACACACCCTGATCATAATCATAACCATAGCTAGGGGTGTGTCATATCATCTGGTTCACTATAATACTGGTACAATTAAAAGTATGATATGAAAAATTCATATCGTGATAATCGCGATATTGCAACTTGTTGATATATTGACATCATACTGTTAGCCACAGCAACAGGAAGCATGGCTAAAAGCAAAATTATTACGGACTCTGCAGTGGTTTCAAAAAGAGGAGCAGCTTCAGTAGTGTGGAATAAACTGTGGTGCCCTGAATGTTTAATGAACAGCCCCGGACTTCTCAGAATCTTTTAGTGATTCAACGCTCAGAGGGAACTCACTCAGCTGCTCCTCTGGCAGCAGCATAGCATCTCTCCCTCTTGATGTTGTCAAGTGATTATGTCATAAACCTTTGGTAATGTAAACCCATGTGACTTTTGCAGCTCGACAAAAAACTACACAAATGTGAATGTGTAATATTTTTGGTAGCATAACAGCCTGTCACAGGTTACAGCATGATGATTAGAGGAGAAATGATAGAGCATAAAGGTCCAAACAACTCGGTCATATACTGTAGGATTTTACTTAAAGAGAAGAAAATCGCCTGTTAATTTACATATATATATGTAGATCCCAGGGTACATTTTTTTGCATTTGGGAGCTGTTTAGATGTGTAATTTGTAGTAGATTTTATTTTGTTGTACTATTGATATTGTATACAGAATCTGAATCTCACTCTGAGTTACTGTTTACAAACTAAAGAAATGAGAGATCATTTTTCTTTATTTTTAACTGAATAGTTGAAGGCAAACTGTAAAACTATATCACATATTTTGTTGCAATTCTGTGTTCTTGAATTATTAGTAACATTTTTTTAATTTGTCATATCGTCAAGAATATCATCATATCATTATACCCTGAAATATTTGTTTATTATTATAGGGCCATGTCACCCAGACCCCTACCCTTAGCAGCAAAAACAATTCATTTCTGATAATGAGCTATATTCCTCTCTCTGTGTCCATCTTCAGACAGGGGAAATGGAGGTGAAGAACCCGCTGTTTGACGACTCCACCCTTTACCTTCAGAGGTTCCACAAGTGAGCCTGGACATTCACACTCTGAATACAGCATTTGTGTGTACAAATGGTTGAATTTACACACACTCCACATATGCTGCTGTAGTCCAGCCCTTTGAATGGACAGGATGGATGGTGTAAGGTACATGGAGTTCATGGACATTTAAAGGACATCAGTGCTGGTTTCTTGTGTGAAGCAGGACTGCAACTGGGACCAATGCCTCCCATGCTACAGCCACATCCTTTCCTTTTTTTTATGTCATCATTCTTTTTTTCTGTTTTCATACACAAAAATACAATCAGCCAATATGGAAGAACTCAGAATTACTTCTGACAGGTAGCAGGCACGTACACCCAATATAATATCCTGTGGTAATAGAACAGAACACAGACAGTTGTCATTGAGCTATGACTAAGTATTTCTATCAGTTTGATAGATCTCCATTAATATCTATGATTACTAATCAGTAAATTATCCCTAATTCACAGAGTTCTCCCTGCAGGCTTTGGTTTTATTTCAGCATTTTTTTTAAAAATGTGATTTTAATAGTTCATGAGCACCCTGTGATCTTTCTCAGTGTGTTATGTAGCCATTGTGTTCTCAGTCTAGTTCTTCTATGCATGAATTGATGACGCTGTGTTATGAAACCTGAGAGTCAATATGCATTTACAGTTCTTACAAGTTTCTTGTGCAAACTTGCTGATACACAATGATTTCAAAGGAATTTGAAACTTCTTTACCTAGAACTCTGAAACAGAGCGAGCCCATCTTGTATATGTGTATATATATATATATATATATATATATATATATATATATATATGGTATCTCACTAACATGGCTTGTCCCCATGGTTTTGTGATCTGTAAATAGCTGCTAACGTGTACAGGGAAGAGATCTTACCTCTCAGTGTGTTAGTACACATGTTCCTTTAGATTGCTGAGTGCTGTGACAAATCTTAAACTGTTGTTTGTTTCCTTATTGTTGACTATATTTACAGGGTTCCTACACATGTGGAAAGGACAGGAAGTCTCAGAAAAGACGTGATGTCCAAGTTATGAACACATATTTGACCCATTATATCTGTTATTGTGCAGAACAGTTTTTAACTGAAATGTAATAGTTTTGTAGATTAAGGGGAAAGCAGAGAGTATCCATGCTCTTTAACACTACGACACCTCCCAAGTGTTAATTAGAAGTGAATAGGCAATGTTAAAGTCTTCACCCAGCAAACATGACAAAGGGGCCTCAAGGTCTCTGTAAGTATAAAGCTGATTACATCCAGCCCAGTCTCCAGAATACATGTTGGTATTGTATGTTTCTGCAAACCATGGATAAACTACATTTGCACAATATTATGTAGCGGATATGTTGAAACTTTACTTTTCAACAACGCTGTGGTTAACATGCTGTTATATTTAAGCCCATGGTTGTTTTGTTGAAAAACAACCGCTTTTCGTAGCACTGTCGCGCCAGGAAACTTTATGATGTCTCGAAAGAAAACAACAGATTTTTGTAGCACCATCCCTGCAAGAAACGCAGCATTGTCTTGGTTAAAAAAAACAGCTTATGGTGGCATTATCCTGACAAGAAATGAGCGATGTCTCCATAAAAAACAACTGATTTTCATGGAACTATCCTGTCAAGAAGTAAAAATTTTTGTCCCACTATCATGGCAAGAAACACAGCAGTGTCTTGTTAAAAAACAACCGCTTTTTGTGGCACTATCCTGGCAGAAAATGGATTAATGTTTTGTTAAAAAACAACCGCTTTTTGTGGCACTATCACCTTAGGAAACTCATTACTATTCTGGCAAGAAACGCAGCAGAGTTTCAGCTAAAAAAAAAAGCTGATTTTCTTGGCACTGTCCCGTTGGAAAATGCAGCATTGTCTCATTGAAAGACAACCGCGTTTTGTGGCACAATTCTGGCAGGAAACGTAGTAATGTCTCTGTAAAAAAACAACAGATATTTGTGGCAGTATCTTAGCAAGAAAAGCAGCAATGCCTCAGTAAATGTTTCATGGTTCTAGCCCCAGTGGAAACACAGCGATATCTTGTTAACAACTGGTTTTGCTGTTGAGAAACAGTGGTATGCAGCTTAGCAGACATCTTGCCTAGGTGTCAAGCCATCCCCTCCACCCTCCTAATGACAAAGTCAACTTAAATACTACACTTTAGACACTTTTATGTGATATGTATGAAACATACAAAATGTAACGTCTTTGTGATTTGCCGAAACGTACAGTGCTTACATTTTCCTCTGGCTGCTGGGCTGTTACATCATGCATACATCAAGTACAACCAAACAAGCAAAATAATTACAATTTTAGCTTATAATATGACAAGACACATTGTCATCAAACAGATCAGTGTAATAGAAATCACAAAAAGTGACACGTAGACGTTAAATGTTAGATGTTAAAATATATTTTAAACTATGTCAGAGAGGAGACACAGTGTAATATCAAAACATTGTCAAGATTAAATCAAAAATAATGGAAAAGGGAGGAAAATCTATTACCTTCAATAGGCAGGTGATTTGTTAAGCTTAGCATAGAGATTGGAAGCAGGGAGAAACAGCCTGGCCATGTCCAAATTTCAAAAATATCCCTGCTAACATGTATTGTGCAGAAATAGGGAAAATACTTTTCCGATACTAATTTGGTGGCCTGTCATGGCTGAATGAACATAACTAATAGCAGAAATGCCAATTTTTTTAGTACTGGATATCCTCTGCTTTTACCTTCACTGAAGCTGCTATCATCACCTAAATACTGTATAGCGGACCGGATGTGGACAACTGCCTCTCTGTATTTTGTTGATGGTCAACATCGTGGATTGCCCTACTGCAAATATCACTGATCGCATTCCACACCCAGAATGATTCTTCAGCTCCAGTGACAGATGTTTGGCAAGAAAACAGTGCAGGAACCCTGGATTTAACTGTGGCCTCTCTCGCTGTCGTCTCTCAGGAAAGCTGCTCTCTCTTCAGCCTGCTCCCACTCTCTCAGCCTCTCAGCTCTCCCACAGTGGAGGAGCATGTTAAACTCTGTTTGACCTGTACACACCTACAATATGTAAAAAAGAAATATATACAGCAGATACCAGGGAGTATTAACACCGGAAATCTTTAACTGTGTTGTAAAGACTGTTTTATTCAAACCTACTGAGCTTGTGGAACAAAACAAAGGACAGTTCATGGTTGGAGGTATGTGTGTCTCGTAAAGGAATTCTCGAACAAGTAACTACTTAGGCTAACTATCTTTGATACAGACTGTTTTCAGACTACATAGAATGAGTTCTACACACTTAAGGAGAACCTCTCTACCACCATGTTTAGCATGCATGTGGATATACCAGAGCTGAAATGAAAGAAATAAATATTTATATAATCTGAAGTGAAACATGGTGTGGTGTGAACTCTTTTTTCCCCAGAAAATAGTCACAAATCACATTTTTAAGGTCAAGGAAGCATTTGTCATATTTTAAAGGGTTCATTCACCTAAAATCTTGGATAAGCCGCAACAGATTGCCAACAGGGACTATTTATTTGGCAGAATGTAGTTCCATATAAAACACTGGACGGTATGTTTTATGGAGAAACCAGGACATTGCTTCTGGAAAGACACTGCTGTTGAAATGTTTTAAATTAATTTCTCAGCAAAGCAGGCAATCACAGTGGCATGCAAAAGTTTGGGCACCTGTGGTCAAAATTTTGTTAAGTGTGAATCGTTAAGTAAGTAAAAGATGCACTGATCTCTAAAAGGCATGATGTTAAAGATGAAACATGCTTTTTAACTTTTTAAGCAAGATGAGTGTATTATTTTAGTTTTGTACAATTTTAAGTTGAAAAGGTAAAGAGCAACATGCAAAAGTTTGGGTACTCCAAGGCATTTGAACTCTCAGACATCTTCTCAGAGCACAGTTAGCTTGTTAGGACTATGGATTGTTCACGGTCATTCTTAGGAAAGGCCAGGTGATGCAAATTCCAAAGCTTTATAAATACTCTGACTCCTGAAACCTTGTCCCAACAATCAGCAGCCATGGGCTCCTCTAAACAGCTGCCTAGCACTCTGAAAACTAAAATAACTGATGCCCACAAAGCAGGAGAAGGCTATAAGAAGATAGCAAAGCGTTTTCAGGTAGCTGTTTCCTCAGTTCATTATGTAATTAAGAAATGGCAGTTAACAGAAACTGTGAAGGTCAAGCGGAGGTCTGGAAGACAAGGAAAACTCCAGTTTGACTGCAAAAGACCTGCAGAAGATTTATCAGACTCTGGAGTGGTGATGCACTGTTCTACTGTGCGGTGACACCTGCACAAATATGACCTTCATGGAAGAATCATCAGAAGAAAACCTTTCCTGTGTCCTCACAGGAACAGCAAAACATTGCACTCAGGGCTTGTCTGATGGACTGAAAACAGTGGTAGAAAGGGGCATCTGCTGGGACATTGTGGTATTGCTGGCTAGAGTGTCCCTTTTATGAATGACCAAACATACTTTATGACTCTTGTCTGAAATGGATCATGTCAAAATTCCGTTCAATTAAATTTTATTTATAAAGCCCAATATCACAAATCACAATTTGCCTCAGAGGGCTTTACATCATATGACATCCCTCTGTCCTTGGACTCTCACTGCAGATAAGGGAAAAACCCACCAAAAAAAAAAAATTTAACAGTAAAAAAAAAGAGAGAAATCTCAGGAAGACTAACTGAGGACACGCAATTCTGAATTCTTAAATATTCGAACACAATAAGAAGCACTCAATTCCATGTTTTGTGTTCATAATTTGACTTAACTTAGAATGGCCCCTCCTAGTAATCAGTGGTAGAGGAAGTTAAGATCCTTTAAGTTGCAATTCCACAGTGAAAACACACTGTTATAGGTCAGTTTTGCTAAAGCAAAATATAGCAAAATGTACAAGAATTAAAAGTACATTTATCAAAGGGAATGGCCCTTTTCAGTGTTGTATATCATTATACATGGTATATAGGACACAAGCCGATGGGGACCATATGATCCTAAGCAAATCTTCCATGCCAAGTGAAAAGACAAGGTTGTCAGGAGAAAGCAGTCTATAGGACACATTCAGAGGAATTATACTGTATTATACGCTGTCAGTACTCACTGAAATGATCTCCAATAGTCTTATCTTTGTTTTAGAAGTAACTAAGAATTGACAACAGCTGTCTGATAAATGTGATGCAGTGAACAGTACCATATTTCCCTCTGAAATGTAGTGTAGTAGTATAAAATGCAAGACATGGAAATACTTAAGTAAAATACTGGAGTTATTTTACTATCTGATTGTTATTTCTGATTCATTAGCATGTAAATCAT